CAACTTAAATAGGTATCTCCACAACGATTATGGGTGCTGAGTATATGTTTTATGGAATCATAAATGAGAAAGGCACGCAATGATAATGGAAAATTACACGGTAAGGATGCGGCGACCTCCCATACATCCTCTTCTTCATCGCTCTCTTCGTCGCTTTCGTTGATTTCAACCACGTTCTTGGAGCATTGTGCACTACCTCCGTCGGTAATTTCAGCACCTTGGGTTGTATCCTTTGTTTCATTGGATTTGGTAGCGTCTGTCAAAGCTGGTGACTGCTTGTTCTTAGGCGAGATTTCTGAACTGATTTGATCAGCTTCAGTCGTTCTCACTTCCTCTCTCTCAATGGGTTTCATCCTTGTTTCTTGCAACATTTCTTCTTTTTTCATTCGATTCTCCCATAACTGGCGCAATGGAATCAGTGTACCAGGTTCCGCAGCCACCGGGCCTAGACCGTTATCCAGTTCCCAGCCAAGTCGTGTACAGAGCTCACTGACGATCACGTCACAATCGCCTAGAAGTTCCACATCGAAATCATGATTCGATAAGGGTTCACGGTTGATCAGTATTTGCGGCACATGACCCGGAATAGAATCTAAGAAACGTTGAGCGCAAAAAAACAACGAAAACAAACAAACAAACGAATCAGGAGTGCAATAAGTGGGATTTTTGGCATTCGTTTTATCAGACGACCGTACCCACAAATTTCAAAGATACTGAGCTAGGCATAAATTGAAAATGGGTTATATTCCAGTGAACCTTTATTAATAGAGCGGGAAAAGACTCATATTGCCTGTTATGCTCGTTCTTCTGTTTGCTACTATTCTTATCATTGTGATTATCGGTATAGGCAGCTGTGTGACCAATGACGTTAGAGCAGCAAAGGAGATAACTGCCCGGATTTCCAAGACTTGAACGGCATATGCAGAACTGAAACACCTTGGGCGTAGACGTGACGTTTCACTGAAGTTGAAAAACCGTGTATATTGTGCTAGCGTTCGTTCAGTTCTGCTTTATGGTTGTGAGACCTTAAATTTGCGAGTAGAAGATAACCGTCGACTAGAGGTTTTCGATTATCGGTGTTTACGCAGTTTAGCCCATGTGGAATGGAGCGAACGGTTAGTAACGGAGATAAGCCACCATGTGTTTGGGAGTCAATCAGGGATAAAACTGCTATCACACCGAATTCAGATTACTAGGCTTCGGTGGCTAGGGCACATATTGCGTATGCCCAGCTGTCGTCTGCCGCATCGAGCTTTATTCGCTGCAGCTAATCCGGGCTGGAGTAAACCGCGTCGTCAACAGATGACGTGGAGACGAGGTATGAAGAAAAGCACA